GAACCGAAACCCCTTGCCTGAGAAGCAAGACCGCTACCAACTGCGCTACCGAAGCTCACCATATGGACTGGTCGGTACTTCCTTCCAGACTTTCATAATGGAACTAACATGTGATTGCAGGCAAGACACCGAAAATCAAGGGCGGCAACAAAAACCCTCCGTAATCGTAATCCTTTCAGAGAAGAGTTTAGCAGATAATGAAAGCAGATTTGAGTTCAGCGTCTCATGCTATGTACAGAAGTGTGCACCACATTTTATTTGGCCGGGTTGGCCTAAGGACCTTTCCTGGTTAAGCTGGTATCAGAGTCCGCGATACGTCGCAGGTTTCGCGCGTTTGCGCGGGTTATAAAAATCGCAAGTGCCCCATTTGAACTTTTGAAACACTGAATATGAAGCAAGTAGATGAACAGTCATTATTCAGTCATCATCATCGAGTAGAAAAGGCGGCGAGATTGGAGAGCACCTTGCAGTATCGATCGGGCACTTGTGGTTTCTGTGACCCGTCGCGCGAAACCTGCGACGGGTCGCGGTCTCTGACATAAGCCTTGCACTGTGTATTAGAGAAGTTTTAATTTAATTAGACTTCTTTCTTTTTTTGAGATTCGTATCAGGAAAAACAGGTAGTGTTATTTGATGTAGGAAATTGTAAAAAAAGTTTAGTAATATAATTTCCATGTAAAATGAATGCACGTTTTAGAGCTTTCCAGTATTTGGACGAGCTGATGCATGAGATATGATGGTGAGGTGGAGAAATTGCTTTTATCCAGTTATTTGACCTCGATCATTTAGAAATGATGCCGTATAATTTTGCTTTGGCCAATTTTTATTGTGTAATTGTGTTTCATCGTTTTTTTTTTGAGAGAATGTCGCATAGCACTGATAGTATTGTAATTTTATATTATTCTCTGATCTCTACAAAATGTGCAACGAGGTTTTTTTCTTTTCATCGGTGATTATTGTTATTATTCTTCTGAAGCGCACTTCATTACAACGGCTTTGATAGCGTGTGTACTTTGTCTTCATTGAACACTACCAGTACGGCTTACTAACGGATTTATTCACCTCATCTTGTTAGATTCGAAGCAGTTTTGGTCCGTCCAGGGTTTGTTCTAAATGTCAGCTAGAATTTAATCTAAGCAGCTCGAATAGAATTCTAATCTATTACTATGTTTGTATATTTCTACCTGACAGTTATTGTACGCACTATGGGGATCTGCTGCATGTGTCAAGAAATCTATATAAGTACAGAAAGAAGAGTTCAGGTTGCATCCTTGTCATAGTTGTACGTGTTACTTTTTTCTAGTGTTGTTTCTATTTCTATTCGACGAGTTTTAGAAGATTATCGACGTTTGATAGAGTTCTAGCGCTAATTTGTAGCCCCTGGTTAATGTGATACGCGCTATTCAAATTTCTATTTGCTTTTTCTTTTTGTGTTACTCAAGCATGAGTCATTTTAGTCGTGAACTTGATACTATTAGAGATTAGCGCTTGTGAGCGTTTTCATATGTCTACCTCCTGAATCGTTTCTACCTCCATTCATAAACAGATGCCTTGCGTTGTTGTTGGCAGAGTATTCTTGAAAACGTTTGGAGGAGGATTGCTGAGAATATTGTAGCATTTAGAATTTTGGGTCACAAAGTTTGGGAAGTACTCAGGAATTCCATCTTCCCTGTTTTTTGTATTCCCGCTCTTGGGCAGTAGAACCGGATGAATGTGGATAATTGGGAGGCGGTTACAGCGGTTACCCTTGCTTCCATCGCAGACCTCTGTCCACATTTTCCCAAGCTCCAGAACTTCCTAGAACCGAGTTTTAGGTTTGGCAGAGGGAACTATGAAGTTTCTGGCAAACCCCGTCCACTTTGATGCAAACCTTGCCTGCGGAGGGCAATCGACCTCCTTTCCTTGACCGACCTCTGTTCGCTTTTTCCCGGTTTCCATGACACTTTAGAGCCTACTTATAAAGTTTAGTGGATAACTCCGCCCATTTTGGTCATGCCCCGTCCACCGACGACAGATGGACTCCACTCCTCCACCCACCTCCATACACATTTTTCCCGATCTCTGGGACTTCTTGGGGCCGAGGTATGGATTTGTGTCGCAAACCCCTCCCGCTTTGATCATGCCCCGCCCACCGATGACAGAGGGCTCCACTCTTCCACCCACCTCCATCCACCTTTTTCCGGCCCATATAGACTTCCCCGGCCCGAATTATGTGGACTTGTAGAAAACGCGGTACTCTTCAGCGCACGCCCCGCCCACTATAAGCGGGCCTCCGCCCACGTCATGTATGCTGGGAACACCTTAGACATTGCTCCCCTACACCAATTTGTTTCCTGCTCTGTAGGCCTTTTCCCCACCAAGTTATCAATCCTTTTGTTAAGCACTGCTTTTTTGGAGAACACCCCGCCCACCGAGGGTGGCTCTCTCTGATTCGATCAGGCTTACCAATACGTACCTTACCCTACTTTTCTTCCCAGTTTCGAGGCTGTTTTCTAAAAGAATTGGAAATCGAGGTCGTCAGTACTCTTCATTTCGACGCACGCCACGCCCACTGTGGGCGGGGCTCCGCTTAGCTGATGTGTGTTTTATACTTCTTGAGACCTGGACCACCCAACCCACACTTGCCTCGGTCTCTCCAGGTGAATCCCCAAGAGCTAGGGAATTCCGTGACAGACATACAGACGATAGACGACAGAAGGCAGACGAAGCGCTTCATAGTAAATAGGATAGTTAAGCAAAGTTTCAACGATTCGGCGTTGAGGAGCAAAAAGTGACTTGCGTATCCCGAATTTTGTCGTTTGTACTATACAAAGGATCCACCGTGCGTTCAAATTTTCTACTGTGTCTTTCCACATGTCTTTATGCCCATCATCGATGTATGCTCAGAGGAGGGAATAGAGGCAACATGAAATTTTACTCATTATTGAAGTAGTTTTCAAATTTTTATCTAGGCATGATAGTAATTGCAGAGATTTCTACTTTCCTAACCAAGTATTGTTCGAAATCTCCTTTTATAATCTCAATGAGTGAAGCTTGTAGCAGAAAGTCTATTCTCTTTTGCCACTTAGCACTGTGACTGGCATTTGAGGCTACGACCCTCTCCCCTTCCGTTGACCAAATACGACCCCTCGTTGTTCTTCGCGCAACGGGCGGTTGACCCTCTTTGTACTCTGCATGCTTCCGTGGAAAGTATAAGTTCTATGAGAAAAAACGAGGCTGTTCCCATGCCCGCTGAACACTAGTCGTGCGAAATCGTGTTTCAGGTCGATTATGTGATCAAATATTGAGCCCCATAGTTGCAAGTGATTTGCTCACGATGTGCGTCTATTTTCTTCTGAAGATAATCTACCCATGATTATCTGTTTATCAAAGTGATTACTGGTAAGTAGCAAACATTGATTGGCAGCGCGAATACTCGTCGAGCGTCGACTAACAGCAGGATAAGTATCCTCGGAGAGTGCCCGCGCGCCGAACTCCTTAGCGCCAGGGATCGTCGCGAACAAACAGCCGTCGATCCACTGTTCACCTTCACTGTCTGCAGCTGGTCGCCTCAGAATATCTTTGTTCCGCATGGAAACCCTTTCAATTTATCCGACTCTCGAATGCTTCGACTTATCACAGTACACAGTTACGGTGTCGATGGATGAAACTCCATCGATTGAAACGGAATCTGTCGAACAGGATGATATGACCAGCATCACCGATGACGACACAAAATCCCCGACTGTACCCGTTGCCACACAACCTGTATCCATGGTTCCGATTCGACTGCCAACTAAAACAGAGGAATCACGAATGGTGTGTAAATCATGGAGTCGATGGTTATTTTCGCAAATCACCAATGTGCTTGAAAAGACGCCGGAACACGTGGCGCTGGTACGTTTTTGTATTTATTTTCGCACAAAGTTCCGTAAAGCGCGTTAATATGCGAGCAGAATCGCCCGACGAATTCGAAACATGCAGCGACCGTTTTAAGATTAGTAATATGGTCAAAGGACGCTGTTGGCAACTATTCACCCATGTGAAAATTGGGTTCCATTGCGGAGCTCGGGTTGCGAATTACCGTAATGATAAGTGCGTTAGACGTTGTTTATCAGGAAAGTTTTTGGAGGAAATCAATTGCCGTTTTATTATTTATTCTTATTAGTTATTATTATTATTATATTATTATTATTATTTTTGATTATTTATTATTATTATTATTTTATGATGATTATTTTATTCTGATTATTATGATTATCTATTATGATTATTATATTGTTTTCTTATTCTAATAACCACTATTATTTTAGTTATTTTTTTATAATTATTAGTATTGTTATTTATTTTCACGGTCCCGCTTGCGAGGTGCTGAATGTTTCATAATTTATTTACGCAATTGGGGTGACAGCAATGGCAGTGACCAAGGAACATGAGGAAAAAAGGCCTCGTCATCAAAAAGGGCCGCAGGCGTATAGCTGGCCCTAGCCATCACCAAGCTTTCACTGGCATTTGTAAAGCTAGCAATAAGTGAATAGTAGGAGCAGTGATAGGGCTGGGTTGTCCACAGACTCAAGATACGATCACAACTGAACCAACTTCAGGAAACATTTGCCCAATTTGAAGAGAGGTGAAGCGGCGAGTGGTGGGATTAGCCTTCGCCTCTAACAAGTACGACTACCAGTACAGGTTTTTCAGGGCGGGATAAGCTTTTTTTGAAAACGGTTTCCGGTTTACATAATATAGGGGCACATCGGAGCGAACACCGAACCCTGGTTCATTTGTTCGGGAACAGTTCTCTGAAGACACCAGAAAGGGGTCCTAGTTCGATTCCTCGTGGGTGACAAAATTTCTGCATTGTTCGAGTTGGCGTTCCAAAATTTCGTCGCAAAATGGATTTAACCATGATAATCAGTAACATATTCAATGATTAGGACGTCAGTAACCTGACCAAAAAGAGCTGGACTCCAAAATTGATGGAAGACGGTTGTGTCTACTAGTGGTGGTGTCATACCTCTTACCACCCGTCTATTTCAATCAAACCGATCTTTGTAAGGCGGTTAAGCTTACTGGACCGTACTAATATCATGAATTGGGATACTGAATCATTCATTTTGCTAACCCACTTTGCCGATTTGGAATCGTCACACGAAATGCAAAAATGGGTTTGTTACCGCGGAAGGAATGCGAACTAGGGCCCCCTTTGCTGGCCTTCATAGGGCCGTTCAGGAAAATGAACCAGGTTCTGGCGGTTCCCGCATGTGCCCCTATGCCCCATGCAAAAGACGTTTTCAAGAGAGCTTGGCACGCCCTGAAAGACCTGCCTTGTGAGGTTTCATCAGGCTATCTGCTGGAGGAATCCCTGTCGAAAAGCGCATATCTCGTATGACAAAGAACTGCCAAGGATAAGGATAAAGGATAAAGCATCCGTTGATCAATCCCTTTTTGGGATGCGGCACGCATTCCACTTCCATTTGAACATTCGTAGTGGCGTTTGAATGCGAGGTGGCCTATACAATGACTTGCTGGCCAGCCGATATACAAGTCAGTGTTGTTTTATCCTCCCAGACACGTCTGGTACCAATTAACCGACCTCGGAGGGATGAAAGGCTTGGTTGGCCCGGGCGATCAACTGAAAAAAAGAACAGCCTACTTAAAGAAAATCGAATTCATGATGTATTCCAGGAATAGTGCCGTAAGTTGTGGAGCCTTGGTAGTTGTATGTAGACCTATATGTACTTTGTGCTAACTTCAAAAAGACAACCCGTTTTTTTCCTTAAAATTTAGATTACACTCTTTTGTATTCGAAAGTGAAGATCATCAAAGAGTCGCGTGTAGAGCAACAACCACAACTAGCCTTTTTTGTTATGAGCCATGCATTCGATCCTACTCAGGATCACACTGAGATTTTGAATGCAATTAGGCGGGGATTGATTCTCGGAGCTTTGATCGCCAGGCCATGTGCTTATGTTAGAAAGGCCTGATTTGCTATTGCATCAGCTCGACCTTGAAAATTATCATTTTACCAAATTATGTACGATAACAACCAATATTTTCTACCAACAGATTGACGAGATTGGAGAGCGGCAGTACGTCACTTATGAGGAACTGATGATAGAAGTGAACCGTGTTGCGAATTTCCTTCTCTATCATGGCGTCGTAAAAGGTGCTCGTGTGGCAATTTGTATGAGTAACAGCATTGAATACATCTATTTCGAACTCGCATTATTCCTAATTGGAGCTGTACCAATACTGCTGAACCCGGGTCACGTTGGTAAGCCCTTTTTAATTGTGTTTCTTCGTGTTGCTTGTGCTGATCTCAAACTGGTTTTATTATACGGTTTGACATGAAAAATTCACTTTTCAAACTCAAATTCAAAAATTCAAAAAAAAAATTCAACAATAAAAAATTCAAAACAGCAATCTCGAGACCAATTTTCAGCATCTGGACGTTTTCCACGATTTCATTGCAGTGCTCTTGTTGTCGATGGTGAGCACTACGGCCATGTTATCCGGTCAATGAAGAACTTTGTCGGGACAATGGTAAGTCTTCTTGTTGGAACTGGATCCTCTACAAGTGCGATAAAATGGATTCATCGATTAGTTAGTGGGCAGGAGCCTTGAAAAACGCTACGATACACAATTCTATATCATCTACTTAACATACCTTTTGAGGAGTCATTCATCAAGAAGACAGGCTTTCTAAGTGCATGTTGAACTTTGGTTTTTGTTATAATATTATACATTTTCTGCTGAGTCTATCGAGGGAGCTAGTTTTCAAAAAATGAAAATTTGTTTTTGCAGCAGGTATTCGTTCTGACCCATGATCTGGGAAAACTGGCCATTCCACGGTTCGTATGGATTATTGATGCTTTTGGCTTCCGCCAATTCCATTCCGAGTCTCCATGGGCCATCGACCGTGGCGATAACGACGACGACGTAGTTGCTTTCTCAACAAGGTTATCTTTTTGAACGACAGTGGAAGTAAGGCTAAGGCGTAAAAGATTAATGTCCTGAAAGCAGTATACATATTCTGCTGTTTATTGCAAATAAGTAGCTATTTAGGGGTAATTCAAAGGCTTTGGTTTTGGGGCAAATTTCGGCATGCAAATCATGTCATGACAATTATAAAATATGCGTGCGATTTTACCAAGTTAATTTTCACGTCATCTATTGGAATTACTCAGTACACTTATTAAGATTTAACGAATAGGTGTGACTGTAGCGTCTAACCTCTGGTCGGTATTTGGCCGGAAATACCGCGCTCTAACCACAGTGTGCCAGTGCTACACACGAACGGGTGCGTTGTATGACATCTAATCCTTTTGGTGTGGCGAGAACCTGGTAGTAAGCAAAAATGCGTGAGCCAGGGGGAATGTTGGCAATTTAGGGGGGGGGGGTGAGCCACTCAACCTGTGGCAAAAGTTTGGGCGTTAGTATCTGATGTCTGGCCTTGTGGAGGAGATGCAGAGGAGCAAAAGGACTCGATGCCACATGACCAAATGGGTGGGGCATCCTGAAAACGCGCCAAATGCATACATTTCTACGGATTTCATTTTCGTTGTCTCTTCGTGCTGAAGCCCTTAGCAGCCTACCCTATTACTCCAGTGAAACGGCTACAACGGTCTACAGTACGCCCTAGGTCTTAAAGGAATCTTCCACGGAAAAAGCTCCGCCCCCATTATTACAGAAAACGATACTTTAAAGGAATCTTCCACGGAAAGAGTGATCATTTTGTCTTGTGTGTAGGATTAGTATTATCGAAACTAACGCTTATGTTCCGGGGGGCCTAAGGTATCGTTTTTCTGTGGTAATGAAGGGGAGCTTTTTCCGCGGAAGATTTCTTAAACTGTGCTCCATAAACTATCACTTTATGTTCTCCTAGACCTCTTATTCCTCAAGCTTTGGGAAAGTTCGGTTTTGATGGGCTGCAGTTGTAGAGTTCGCATGAAACAAGTGCTTCCATGTATCAAATAAGAATTGCTAAGCCGAACATTTTTTATAAGGTCAACACTATGATTCAATTGAAGAGATGTTAAATCTTTAAGCGCGAAAAAGTAACTGAAGCGTGGCGGAGAACGCCAGGGACCAGCACGTGCACATCTCCATTTGTCTAATGGCAAAACTACTAACCTTAATTCACTTCATGTGTTAGTATGTCATAGTGGTCACGACAGCGCCTTCGCATAGTCCAACGTTAAGAAACAGTGGCTCACTGGCGATTATGGTGCTTATAATCTAAACTAAGGCAGTGACGAGCTCCAGTGAGAGATCTCTCGGCTCTGCAAAGCAAATACACCAGTAATTTGAGATTGGAGTATAGAAATCAGGAAATAGCAAGGACATTTTAAGATCAAGTTGTACCACATTCTACCTTGATACCACGCATTTCCAGTGGCACTACATCACAGAAAAGCAAGGTGGTTGCCCATGGCTCTGCAAGTGCACATCGGCTTTGCACAGAATACCTTGACATGCTCAGTGAGCACCTGGCCGAGCGAGTTTCTGAATCCCGCACACATCAGCTGGTGACAAGCGGTCTTCACACCGTCGACTCCTGGTCACTTCTGATGCATTCACTAACGTCCGATCGCACAGTGATCATCACGGAAACGAGTTCTGATGTTTGGTCCGTCTCATCGTTGGATCGCATCGCTGAACTTATTCAGCTCTATGATGTAAGTGTTTTCCAAGCTGTAAACTTAAATGAGGTGACTGATTCAAGTACGTGTGATGATATGATGCGAAACTTCGTGAATATCAATTCAAAAGCATTTTCGAGCTTTGTACAATGCAGGGAAGTGACCGCAAAAGTGTTGAAGCACGCTCCAACTTGGCTCCTTGACGACGGTTTATTTTCTTTTTGGTCAAATGGGCGATGTGGGAGATCGACCGAAAATTGGGAGAAAACTAAAGCAAGATCTGTGGTAATTGCAGCACTATCTAATAATTTCTACCACTCCTCTTTATCATCAGGTACCCTTTATGATTTTTTTTAAATTTGAAAGTAAGCTCCATGCGGGAACAAATCACCATCAATGTTTTCTAAGTGCAAGCTTTAGGCGCTTCACCATCCTCAATGGCATCATAGGGTGCCAAAATTTGAAGCCTGCGTGGCACTCTGTGGTAGCATTCAGGATGAGGACACTTGCCTATGGCACTACAGCATTTATGTGTTTAGCTCCAGGAAGAGAAACGTTCTTTCAGATTAAAATAATCGCAAACGGACCTAATGATAGTAACGGAAGTGTGGTTCATTAATTAAAACATAGTGCTGCATTCACCATTGATTCTAGTTTTTTCTTAGTTTTCCGTTGAAGGTAATTAATTTTAGTATGTTTTGAGTTTAGAGCAATTATTGGCAAGATAATACAAGTTACGTAAGCATCGATGCTTGTTCCTGAATCCTATAACATATCCTTGGTTTTAAGTCGAAAATTGAGTTTGGGAAAAAACTTTTTCTATACAAGCAACTTTTGTCAGGAACGTGAACATTAACATCTGTGCAGTGAATGTAGTGTAAATCTTCTCGATGGCGCTGCCTTGAAATAAAAGGACGACATTCTTTTCGCGTAAGGGGCGTAGGGGAGGCTTGTTGTGTAAAATTTTTCTATTCCATTCATTCACTCGCAATTTTTTTTCTTAAATCGTATTGACTGATATGGGCGTCGGCTCCAACTCAACCGTATCGAAAATCACTTCTCAGCGATTTCTGCCAATTGTTTGTCTTTTTTCTCGAATATTCAATTATCTGCTCCGATTGCAGACTGTGATTTTTGAGGTACTACCCCACTCGGTTCAAATGCTCATAATGAGCGATACCCTCTGTATCACAATTTTTTCCCGCTATGGCAGTGAATGTTTCGTTTTCACCTTCTCGATAGTATTTAGTTGAAGCCACGAGTCGAGATTAGGTCCCAAAAACCAGTCCCTTCTAGAGTGAGAAATGTGCGTCCTCAAGGGTAGTGAGCACCACAATTTCGCGAATTAAAAGCACGAGGCAACCACCTAAGGCCTTGCCTTGTGTGCTGCCGTGCTGCCATCCTTATCAACCATGGCACACGTGGTCTTTGTGACCTCCCGCGTTTTCCCTCTCTTCACAGCGCTGTGTCTCTCCGTCATACCACGGCCGGCCTCATAAGGAAATCTGCTTTTTTCTATAGAGCTTTTTGATTTTCTCCACTGGTGTTCCTCGTTGCCACTCCTTGCCTCATTTTCAAGCAAAATAATGCAGCACACAATTCCATCCTGACTCGCGCCTTCAAGTTCCGCCTCAGCTCACGTTGATGCGCATTCAGTATGTGAAGGTATGCTCCAGATGTTGTCCCCAAAAAAACTGTGATAGTTCCCCCGTGGTACACTCCTCCTCGCATCACATTCCAACTCTTTCAAGCAAAATTGTACTTTGAAAAAAGGAAGTGAGAGGCAGTTGCAGTTTTCGTCGTGCTTACTTGCTTTTTAGGACTTAGGTACTCACAGTACCTGAATCCTAATCGGCACAAATTATTACAACCCTTAATAAGTTGAATGAGTGGCTTGATAACGCTACTAAGCATCGGAAGTGCGAAGGTCGTTTTTCACGGATTCTTCAACGTTTTTGTGAGAATTCTCCTTAGTATAAAGCCGCACAAATTATTACAGCCCTTAAAACCCGTTGTCATTACACATTAGGTCTTTGGGACAATACAGTATTTGGATGATCCGATTGATTGGGCATTTGCAAGCATGATGTGCATTTTAAAGTCTTCAAGGCGATAGGAAGATCCACGGTAATAGAAACGTTTTGCTGGCTATCGTCCTCTTCTCACGTGAGCTGGCTGATATGTAGGAGACGTTTCCGATTTGAGTACCGATAATCATGTTTGCGTTTACCGTATGTCGGTGATGTCACCTATCCGTTGATTCTCGGTTTTGGCACAAGTGCCACCAATGTTTGCGTAGATCTTCCAAAGGTTTTCACGTCAAGCTCATGTGTACAAGTGGCTATTAGCGGCTAGACTGTTCTACTAAAATCACTGTAATTTATGCAGTAGCCATGCAAAAAGTCACTTAATTCCGCATTCAAAACGGAATCGAGTACACTTTAATAAATACAACGGATCCCAACGGAAATTGGCGAGCACATACTAATCTATGAAAAAAGTCCAAACAGCTCTTTTCAGCGGTATCAGAAGATTTTCGTACGGGAATATGGTGTACGGTTCGAACTCAAAGGTCCTCGGCAAATCGCGGGCCATTGCGACCTTGTGTGAAGCACTGGAAACACTGGTGGAAAGAAGTTCACATAGTCTGAGTTACTGCCTCTGAAAAACTACCCATTATCCAAGCGATTAAAGAAATTCCATAGTAGCTCCACGCTGGGGCGCCGACGGTAGGCCTCCTTGAGCTCGAGCGTAGTAGCAGATCACGTTTTTTTTCTCAAGATGATGAAGGCAGTAAGGGAGGGCCCGCTTCTGCTTGTGGGGGAAGATCTAAGAAATGTTTTGCCGTAAACTCCCATCAACAGCGGCACCCTGCGCGACAAAAACTTTGGAATGTGCGTCATGTGATGAATAACTCATTTTTGCTTACCTCCTCCCTACCCCCTTTAGAATACGGTGTTGATGACAGATTTGCATTCGACGCTTCCAGCCACAATTCTGAAGGAAAGGGTATAAGCATTTCTGGCATTAGACCTCATGGTCAACCCATTCACATTAAATAACTTTAAGGTTGTTTGATAAGCAATGCCTTTTTCCAAATGAAAGTTTCCTCCGTAAAATCCCACCATGTTATTGATTATGCCAGTCGAATGTCCAATTCGATAGGGATCATCTACTTTACAAAACGTTATATTTCGCTTTTGCAAGTGTTGCGGACAAAGTGAATCTTGGGCTTGCGAAACGGGGAGGTCCAGTCAGCGGAAATTGGCCAAACTGGTAACCAATTGATAAATATTATATATATATTGAATAGAACAGAATAAATCAGTAATGCGCACCGTATCTAGTCACGGAATTCTTTCAAATTCTGCAATTGGGCTGTCCGACAAGGTTTGCCGCCATATTGTCAAAGCTAGGCCCTAGAGTTTTTAAGTTTTTGTCCTCGTCAAGCTAACGAAAACTACTGAAACATCCAGTAGAACTCACTACTTGGTACGGGGTGCACTACCGATTGATATTGTAATCATTTCAGTGGAACATAGTCTCTGAAGTGGTGGCGTCATTCTCGTCTGTTGCACAATTTTTTTTTCAAATTGAAAACTGAATTTCAAATAATTGCTAGCTTAGCTTTTCGTCAACTAGACCTTCCATTCAGCGAACCTGGAATTGAGCCAAGTCGCGGTGACCATAGAAGTGCAAATATAACATGAACGTAAGCACAGCAGATAGATCTCTTTCGGATTTTATACTAATATAGCATGAAAACTTGGGGAAAAGAGAAAATTTTCTTCTAGAAAATTGACCTCACACCGCCTTCAACCCAATAGTGTTAGCCTGATCGGGAACTAATCGTATCTCTGAAAACTGAACCTCGCGATAGCGTAAGCGTATTTGGACCATAAGAGTCAACCTTATTTCAGATTGCGATGGTCATCTCACAGGCCCAGTTCTTGAAAAGCTTCCTGAAGTATGACCTGCACAAATTGTACGATATTTCTTCACTTAAGGTGAGTTAGGCGTATGTTAAAGTGGAACTTGATTGTTGTACAGTACTCAAAGCAATTGCTCAAAGCCCATGAGAAACACGTGAGAAGTGGAAACCACATTTCACCATTGATTTTGGGAGAGACGAGTCTTCTGCTTCCACAGAAGTTGAAAGTCAAGGGACTTTAAACACTGCCACCGTGAAAATGGTGATGGTAGACAGAAGGTGCAGTTGCTGCTACGATGGCCGGTGCAACAGTGCACTCGAAAAGGAAAGTCGAATGATGACGGTGCAGGCTCATTTTAGATACACTGCCGTTGTCATCCTTTCTACGTACCGCCGGTGGGCGTGCCTGAGAACCGTGGAGTAAATTTCAGATCCTTATTCCGCCTTTCATAGCGCATTTTCCGCCGCGGAACACCACACATCGTCTATTTGGACACTAATCTACCCTCTTAGTTATCAATTCTTTCTCTCTCACATCCGTTTCATCGCGCTTTTGTTTCTCTTACAATATTAAGGAAGATTTTTCAGGTTTTCGCGTTCACCGGTTCGTCGCTGCCTATGTCCGTGGCAAGGCAGTTCCAAGAGGTCACCGGGGCTTCTGTTATCCAAAGTATGTACTCCATGCTAGTTCAAATTTCTGCATTGTCCACTGACCGATAAAGAAGGGCTATACTATGCTAATACATGAGTGAATTACCAGTGCACTAGATAATGTGAGCGCGGACAATTACCAGTGTATTGCCTGCACAATATTATACATGTTCACCAACAACCTCCAAAACTGGTAGTCAAAGGCAAGATTCAAGCTCAAACTGATGAGGTAATTCTACTCAAATGTTCTGTAGCGGCGGGAGGAGGACCGCCACTGGAGGAAAAGGAAAAAAAATTCGTGAAATACTCAAGAAATATGAGCCTTTTGCTCTACCTTGCGGAGAAATCAAAAGGACGGCAGGGAGATGAGAGATAATGTGAGCGCGAGAGTGGTAGAGAAATCCGAGAAGAGAGAGCATAGCAGATCAGCATTGCGATGCAGACAAAATGCCGAGCGGTGGGCGGAGCGTGTCGCAAAAGGTGGAGCGTGTCAAAGTCCTTGGCCCCTAGCGCCTTAGTGAAGCATTTGGATGCGGGAAGTTGGTCAGTCGACTGCAGTTGCGTCCCACGTACTTCTAGCCACTTTAAGGGCTTATTGGGTGGGGCCGAGCCCGAACTTTGCCTTTAAAGATGTTTTTAAAAAGGCTCCACAGTGAAAATGTGGTGCCTACGAACTAAAATTTGGAGACCAACACAAAATTATGATTCGAAAGAGGCACCAACTTTGCTTGCATTTTTGGAGAAGTATGATGTCGTATTCTTCCTAACCAGAAAAACTGCTGACCAATGAGACTCGCCTGGGTGCGAAGTGTAAATATCGCCTCTATTATCGCCTTTCACGTAAATAAAGGCAGATTTCAGGAGCAAATTGATGAGGTAGTACCACTCGATTATGAAAGTAGGGATTTCAAGTGGAACCGCAAGCGGAGCAGAAGCGAAAAGAAGTCGTGGAAACCCCAAAATTTCAACTTTTTGATTTACGCAGTGGATAAGTCTAAGAGACAGACAGCAAGATAGCACTAACCAGGAAAGGCATTCAACTTCCCATAATACTTTGAGATGAGACACAGATACATCAATAGAGCTTCAAACGCTGATTACAAATAGGGAAACTAAAACTGCAAAATGAACCTGCTAAGGAACTTGTGAAAAACTCAAACTTGGCTGGAAGTAAGGCATTACACTGGCCTCCGGGCTTTCAAAGTCGCCGTGGTGTAGTGGTAGTGCTCCCGGAATTTGCGCGCCGACGGGAGGAGAGCTTATGACCTCCAGGGTGAATAGCGAACCAGCAGTGCTCCGCGGCGACTCTAAAAGCTCGGAAGCTAACGTAATGCTTTTATTGCAGCCAACTTTGACTGCTCACAACTTCCTTGGCAGGTTCATTTTGCAATTTTAGTTTCCATATTTGTAAACAGTGTTCGAAGCTCTATCGACGTATCTGATTCTCATATCAAAGTTCCATGGGAAGTTGAATGCCTTCCCTGGTAAGTGGTACGGTCGAGAGGGGAAGAATTGCGAATCGAGGGCGCAGCCTATTAATTGTACGAAACAGTTAATTAATCGTGCCAAAGCGGTGGACGTGCACGGCTCCACGGAATTGTGCGAGGTACCTCGACTCGCTATCGTCTCGGTAAGGCGCGCTAGAATGGCAGACGCAGCGCTTCTGGGATGGGCTCTTGAATAGGGCGAGTTTGAATCTCGCTTTTGAAGGCTAAATTCGCGATACGCTGATTACATTAGTTTTAGAAACATAGGTATGAAGTGGTGTGTGACTAAAAAAAGCAAAATAGTCAGAGACCTTAGAGACGTCACCTTCTATTCCCATTTGATTTTAAATTTGGACGAGTTAACCATGGTCGTTGGCGCTTTTATGGCCGCTGCAACAGCTTTCTTTTGTAATTTTACTACTACTTTACCAGTTATCTCAAATGCTGTCCTAATGCCAATGTGTTCTCGTGCCCTTGCAATCCTCCGTACGTGAAAAAGAAAGCTAAAATTGGTGAGATTTCAAGATGAGACAGCTTGACATGAATTCAATCCTGAGAACAAGGCAGGCCACCGTTTGCGTCCGGGGTATGTTACTTCTGAACTCCGTTGGACACCATTTTGCACCTTACAACTTTGTTGGTAGGGTGCTTTCTTTCGCGGAAGTGTCACATATCGCCTTACCCCTTCTCCTCTCCACCCTTCCTTTCATGAGCATCAGTTTATGTGATCTATCGTGAAGGATCAGAAGTTTTTCTTTTCGCTATTGTGGTTGACGGGCCGTAACAAAGTTCATTTACGAATGCAACGACCCCTACGTACTGCATTTGCGTGATGTGTTTCTAGCGCTGAACCTGTTTATTGCACTGTATTCGCATGAAGTGACATCCACTGGATTTTTTTTAGCATATTCTTCAACGGAATGCGGACCTATTTCGTACGAACTGTTCAGTTCCAATGAGGATGCGTATCCAAGTTGCGGAAAAACATTTGACGGAATCAAGGTCAAGGTGAGGCAGTGCAAAAATTTTTAAACGCAACGCCGAAATGAATTCATTTCATGACGTGCTTTCAGGTTGTAAAATTTGATATTTACCACTTAATTTTACAAAAATTTCTGCAAGATTCTAGGAGCCTGCATGAATGAAGCTGTATTGTAGGCGAAACGTACAGTTAAAGATAGCCCATCAATAATCGGAAATCAAGGGAAAAGTGATCTGTGGTGTATGGATAAAGAACCCCGTTTGTCTCATCGGCGCAGGCCTCATCAACGCCAACGCTATCTGTACGGGAGTCAGACGACAAGCGTTAGGCACAGGGTCAACCGTACTTCTTGGACCGATATTGGAGCAACGTTGGACCGATGTTCATCGCTCTCCGCGCCGGCATTCACTCTCGCCACCCGCGAGCCGTCTGTGTCTCCGTGCGTACGTTCACTATCGGCATTACTCTCGTCGCCGCGTTGGACTTTGTCCAACGGACGGTTGACCCTGGTTAGGCATGGAGGACATGCAGTGCGCGAGCAGCGCGGGCATACCCTTTGCTGCATCGTCCCGCTTCCTTGAGGGTTCTCCTGCTTTTCTACTAAGTATACGTCCCCTTATTCCTTGACATCACGTGGAGTCAACTCGTGCATACGTGTTGAAGGCGTGAACGTGAACAGTATTTATGTTGGACCTTAATATAAAATTGCATGTGGATGCACATGCCATGCACTTCGTCACAAAAGCACTTCCCGTTCCGCCGATCGGGCCATATTCGGTTCTACAGGCAAACCTTTCCAGGAGCTGTCTCTCTTTGGGATTTCATTCTTTTCGCTTAGAACTTTGCATATGGTCTTCAATGACCATGCCTAACACGTGTATACGAGGAAAGAGTGAACAGTTTTTCCGTGGAAGATTTCTTTCCGCTCATGTATTCGGAAGGTAAGGCTTCTGTACATGAAAAATCCTTTACAGATTACCGACATCGATGAAGATGGGAAGGAAGTATCAGCTGGTGAATGGGGTCATATCATGCTTCAATGCCCAGTGATGTGCTCTCGTTATCTCGGCGACAATATAAATAGCTCGTGGACTGCTGATCAATGGTTCCGCACAGGTGTAGTGATCACAACTTGCTAGGACTCTGTTAGGTTGCTCATTGCATTTCAAGAAAAATTTCAAAACAAGTTTAGTTGTAAAAGCGTTTTATAATGTGCGTGTCTTGTATTTGCCCTCAGCGCACTCTTTATAGCCAAAAATTATTTATGATCGCAATGGAGTAACAACGGATTGGGCCCACAAATCGAAGAACACTTTTTTCCAAATCTATATTAGAAAACAGTCATCTCTACTACTTCTTACAAACGTCCTCCATCTGTCGCCAAGAGTCTGAGAAGAATGAATGTACGTTCTCATGTGTCGACGATAATTGTATTTCTCACGTCCACAGAGCCCACAAAATCATGGCGAAAATTTGCTCAAAAGGGCCGGAAGATTTATTACGTGTCCTCAAGAACCCAAAAATGCAAACAAGGAGAGCGTGTGGAAAATTGGTATGCTTAAAGTGTTCAAGTTCTGTTGGTGAAGAAGTCGGCGAAGGCCGTTCCCCATCATGTCGGATTTCAATGCCTGATCTCTTTGAAGGCTATCCACATGGCTGGAAAAGCGGCAGTTGGTAGCAAGAGGTCCACAGTGCAAGGTTTTCGCAGCTCAGTTCTGTAGCTCAGCTACTTCAACTCGTGCACGGCTGAAAGTGCAAGATGGCACAATTGTGGGAAGAACAGTCGGCGGCACCCACTTGTGGACTTCACTGAATGATTCGCCTTCCTCTGCGCCAGGAACCCCATCCAAGTTACGTCTGCTTAAGAAGCGGCCTGTTCAACAGTTATACGCAGATGCGGTTTGATCAAACCCCTCTGTTAATCTATGTCAGTTTCCGATATCCGACCTTCACCCTAATTTTCTTCGAAACTTTCATCATCGGCAGAAAGATATTTTGAATCACTACTGCACACCATGTTTTTTTTGTGGTTAGGACCAAATGCTCAGTTGATATCCCGAGTTGACTCCGCACTTTTCCCACCGATTTTGGGGGGGGGGGAGGGGAACAAGTTACTCGTGCAAAACAGCCTGTAGAGTATGTTACGTTGAAGCCTTCAAGGAAGAGAGACAAAGTGTTTCAGGGTTTAAGTATCAGCAGATTTACACAGAGCTAGAAAGATGTAATAGGGGTGGCATTGGGCTGTGAGACAGTAAAACTATAAGCGAATAGCACAGATACGATCATTTATCTCTGTGTTCTTCAGAAAAAAGCGTGGGCGATTTTGATTGGCCCCTATTTTTATCCCTGATCGATCTATTTACAAGAACCCTCGTGCGCAGTCTCTAATAATTTTTAATTTTTGGGCTCTGGCTTATGAACTCAGCTCAAAACTCTGAAGCACATAAAAACGGCATCATTGTTACGATTTCTAGGTGATATTGGTATGCTGGATGATCAGAAGCGATTACACGTGGCAGGTCCAAATGATGTACTGCTAAGGATCAATGAGAAAACGGTTCATGGTCTTTCCATTACAGAGAGGAAATGCTACTTTTCGAAGTACAATTCATCGCAATTCAGATAATCACGGTTACTCTGGAAAATACTCTCATGGCTCATCCAAGTGTCGAAGACGTTGTGGTGGCGATAATGAGCTCACGTATTGCTGCAGGTGTTGTTCTGCGAGAAGCCATGGAACTACCGACCGTAGATGAATTGAACAACTTCATTCAAGGTATTGTTTGTGATGCTCTTATTTCGCAACGCTCTACGATTCCTTTTCTTTCTTAACGCTCGAAGTTGTACTTGATTACGGGGATCTTTGCTAGGACTGATGAAGCCAACATCGGTGTACTCTTTTAAAGCCGCTATACCGGCCGGAGGTGCCTTACTCAGTTTAAGACACTCTATGAGTGAAGGCTCTCGAACAACCACCGTAGTGCTATGCTTGTATTAGCACTAGTTCAATTTAGACGTAGAATCCATCGTAAAAGTAGGTTAGAAGAGTGCAATACGGTACAATTAATCACGATCAAAGGCACATGCCATGATGGCGAAAATGGGGTATAATGATCAATTATGAACAATATGTGTTATTGACTTGCCACTTCAAGGCATGCTCCAAGATCAAGTTGACTTGGTCTTTGCTCACGAAAATGTAAGCGTTATGCGAATTGGGTCTTCAGTAAAAAAGGTTAAGGTTCCGAAAAAAAGCATAAGGGTTTGTTCTCCTGTTCAAGGCCAAGAGATTGGGCATGGTTGAAGGAGTACGATGAGAGAGTACGACGAATGGGAGGACGAGGCGGAAGGGAGGATTTAAGCGGTTGAAGCGGTCTTTGCAAGAAAATGGCACCCTTGTCGGATTATTTTCATGCGTGGAAGTACCAAATTTTTGATTGTGCTCCAAGGGTCGATCATTCATACTGAATTTCATCCTTGACTCATCTGCCTGGGTTGTGCCTTTGAGGACAAAGAAAAAGGAACCACGAAAATACCATGATATTTTTCTGGTTGAAGAGGTTGACAAAAAGTCTGAGAAATGCTGGACGCCAATGCGAGGGCATCAACGAGAGAGATGAAGGAGCATGGCAGACGAGCGGTACGAAGATACCGCAAGGATTCAACGCCACTCAATGTCTGCGGCTGCTAACCTAGAATCCCTATTCGTAATCGTCCAACGTACCTGTAAAGATGACTAGTCTACCAGCGTTATTTTACGCGGTGACACTTTGAAAATCTGCTGGGAATCGTCCTTTTTCTTGTGTACCGTCAGCGGATGTGCTAAATTAGGATCACATTCGAGCCTTCTAATCACTATGAGTGAGTAAGAGTCAGCACTCGCCGTCAGGGCTTTTCTGCTGCCACGAAGTTGCACGAAAGGGTGAGTATTATCGGGGAGTATTGCCAAGCAATATGCACTTCCTGTGAGAATAGTCCTCAGAAAATAAATGGAATAAATAAATCCCTCTAGAGAAAACGGAGCCTACTTCTGCTGACCCTGGTTTATGAAATAGTTTAATTTGCTCCCTTGTATCCGTCTTGGACTCAATTCGCTATTTTGGCCGTGTTTGTAATGCACACTCGTCACGCTTGGCGACATCGACCCGACCTATAAGGGTACTGACCACCTATCCGAGGTTTTTCCATGGTTTATTATCTCGAAATGCGCTAGCTTGAAAAAGTTTGTGCATCAGCGAGTCATCAATGGAACTGTAGTGTCGGAGTAGGACGATTTTTTTCACGATGAGAATTCTGAGAAACTGTGGTTTTGGAAATTTGCTCAACGACATGACCCATTTTTTCTTCATACTTTGATACACTTCTATCGCTCACTACTCATACATCTATTTCGAAGGAAAATTTCAGACCAAAACGTCGAGATGGGACCACTCTCCAAAATCGTTCAAGTAGACTTCATTCCTCGCTCTGAAACTGGGAAACTCATCCGCTCTGAAGTTCTTTTCCTGTTGGAATCGGAGGATGAAGACCGTTCGTTGGAGGGTGTTCAGAAAGTGTAAATATAATAATTAGGATTCACTTCATGTAGAAACATACTATGAATTACCGGTTATTCAGTTTCACACCCAGTTAGCCTTGTTATACGCTCGAACTTGCTGTTTTCATATGTATAGAAGAGATACGATAAATTTCCCAAGTCGTTTAATACAGCTTAATATTTATCATATCTGCGTTTCGACATGCAGAGAGGGTTAGGCGGAAGTGCCTTTCATCTCAATCTGAGCAAACTGACTGAAAAAGAAAAAATTGCTGGAACGCCAAAAAGGTAATTATATAGCCAGTGAGTCCATTGTCATTTCAGCGCTGGCTCTCCTCAACATTGACACCATTGCGCCTGGCGTCCGATTTGTTGCGTGAATTATGTCACGATATAAAAACCTTTCATTTATTTCTACTCATGGTAACAAATTTGACATTATTGAGAATACCGTCAAATGAATCACGCAACTGCTTGAAGAGCCATGCTACCAACTACTGCCGCGATTACGAAGGATTTATTGCTCACTACACTTCATTTGTCTAGGGACTTAAAGTCAGTTTAAAGCCAAGTGATAGGGTATCTGCACTGATAATTGAGCTCTCCCGATTGCTTTCTCTCATGCCCTCGTCGCAAGAGAGATTTCGCAGGCCACGGAGTTACGGGCACCACAACCGACGTTCGTACTGGTGCTCGCATTAGCAAGGGTATCAGCGTCCTTTGAGCAAGCATGATTCGCTCAGCTTTGTGTCATTCACTTCCTATGTTGATAGGAACGATTTGGGAAGCCAGTGATTGCTAAATCAGTTCAAGTGACAGGGGACATTGCAAAAGTTAGCTATGATTCTGTTATTGAGTCCTTTTACAGTTGCAGCTCAATTGCTGCAAGTGAAGTAAAGTGCAAATGATGAGGTAGGGTGCTTTACAACATAGTATTTGATACAATGACTTGGTGCGGTGGTTCTGCATTATTTTATATCAGTTCTAGATCGCAGGAAACAGCATTCCGGAGCACTGCAAAGCCCTGCTCCACCATCACAATCCTTAGGTCTCCGATTTTATCTTCCAACGAAACCTTGTCTATAATGGTAATTAAGAACGTTGATAATGAGTATACCAGTTATTTCTCGTGTTAGCGTCAATCGGTGCCATTTTGCGCGAACTTGTGTAACGACTGCTCACATCAAATTCCCCGAAAATGGGTATTCATCGCAGTGACTCATTACCCCGGTCAGGATCTAAAAAAAGGCATTCATTCAACGATACATATTGACACCTGATGGTCCCTGCACCAAAGTGATGATTTTATGATTTATTATCGGATATCCTTCTACAACAAGTGTTGAGACAAATACAGAGCAAATTTTCGACAAGAGAGAAAAGAAAGTGAAAGAAAAGAATCAAATATGTAAGGAGCCATGAGGGAAGGGAGTGGATAGTCAGCGCTCAAGGCAGTGGCCGCCAATACTGCAAGCTCCAAGTGGCGAATGAGAGCTCCGGATACCAGTTTAATAGGTCCGCCAACTTTGCCTAGATCCTACTCCCAGAAGTCTCAAAATGGGAAGGACTGACCAACAGCAAGCGAATGCGAGCAACAAAACATAATTACTGCTTGCAAAACAACCGTTAATGATAACTTGTGTCTGGAGTGGATGTCATGTTCGTATCCATTCAGCGCACTAGTACGTATACCCTTATAGCCCAAGTCTCAGCATTTTTCGACCTGCTTGAGATTCAGTGGTGAACGAGCCTGGGATTGTAATTGTTGAATTGTGCCCAATACAATGACTGCTCAATAGCAAGAAATTTCGATAGGTGCTCGCTTAGATAGCTGTAATTCATACATAGTACTCCAACTTAGCCATAACAATTCTACTGCTACTAATCTACAACTTTTAATTACACCCTTTTCTATGACTAAAGGCATAAAAGAATTCTCTTACGGTATACAAGCTGATTTTAAGCACTTAAACAGTGCACCTATTGTTAAGCAACAGTTTGAGGCTCCAAAATTTATTTTATAGGGCTTCGAAACTCTTAATCTTGAAAGTTTTCCAAAAAAAAGCAAAGGACTCCGCCTGATACCTAACTTCCTGAAAAACCTATTCCGGCTGATACCTTACACCCGAAACGATGGAGCTAAACGAAATCTAGCAAAACTAAAAATATCTTTGCTGGATGCGAGCATCGCTGACCGACGCCGCCGTCGAGGGAAATGTGATGATGGGATTATTTCTTCGCAAAATTTCCTAAGATCACGAATAAATGCACAATTTTGAGAAGACTTCACAATACGAAATCAATCAGTATGCTCGCAATCACGTCGAATTGAACGAACTCGCCTCAACAGCAAGCTAGAAAACTTACGTGGAAATGCCGATGTAGAGCCAAATTCCATAAAATGGGACGCGGTACCACCTAAAAGATGTACCATCATAGGGACGGATAAGGTGGATAATGATAAGGAGGCCGCACTGAATTTAGAACCTTCATTTTCCATTGCAGAATCGATGACAGAGAGAACTATGGATGCGGTTAACTTGGGTTTAACAAATTTACATTCCTGCTGAGATGACGAGAACATAACGGACCAACAGCGTTAGATAGAAAATCAACCATCCTCGCAGTGACACCTTTCCTAAGAAAGAGTTGCACTATTCCGGAGCCAATCCCCGCCCTTGAGCTGTTGTTGAGTACTTTACACCAACAAATCGAAGATATTTATTCAACAGCCACACAAACATTTGGTTCTAACTTAACCGAAAACGAGAACTCGGAAAGCTATTAGCCAAGAGAAGGGAATTGAGATATAGTGTGGCAGACAAAAGCGAAGATTTTGTTGTTATCACCAAGATGGACAAGGCAATTACTATCCGCACTCTGGAAGATCGTAACACCTACACAGAGTCTTCTTTTCGGTCGTTTGACCTTCTAAACAACTTGAAGGACTCATGAAAGCAGTGCTAAATGGGAAGGTAGCGGGAACAAAGCGGGGACAGTAAGACGCTTTATTTTGTCTTCTCCATGTATCCCTACCTATTACCCATTCATTAAAACTCACAAAATAACACATTGAACAATCTCACGCATCATCAAAACCCGTCCCATAATTCCAAACTTTGGAGGACCATCTGACAGAATAAGTTGGCTGTTGGTGAAGATCTCCTCTTCACTTTTGCACAAGGTGACGTCACATTTGACAAATACTGGGGATTTCATTAGTTCCCACAGTCAACGTCAAAGTCCAAGAGGTGTACACTAAAAAGCTTTGATGCAGTCTCGCTTTATACCAACGTACACACGGGATGCAATTTATGCTTTATGATCTATTATCGGATACATTAGTTAGCACAATACCAAGTAAGAAACAGAAACAAGTCACCGATAAATAAAAAAAACTCAAAACTAAACAGTGGTAGCAAGGGATAAAGCTGCGTGGGAGCGGAAAGCCGGTGAGAAGGGCAGTGGCCGCCACACTGCAAGCTCGTGCGAAAGCGACGACGTAGAACTCTGGCTACCAACTTAGTAGGTCCGCCAAATGCCGAGATCCAACTGCATCGCAGGCCCAAAAGGGGATTATTTCCGAAACAACATGAAGAAATGAGACATAAATTAAACGAAAAGATAAACCTAAAAATCTGCAAATCATCACAAGTTCAGTTAATTAGCTACAACCAAATAAATCGCTTCTCTGCCTCCTAAACTGAAATTAGTTGAGTTTCTTGTTCTTAAAATCAATGTATGTTGGCCTTGTGGCAAAGAAGAAATCTACACTTTTGGACTTGACGAGGATGAATTGAGACGTTTACTCAAGGCTACTCTGGAATGCAATATCTTCCAATTGACCGAAAATGTCATGCTCAACATCGCGGTTTGGCAATGGGATTACGAGTAGCTCCACTGCTGGCAGTTGTATATTTGGGCCATTTGGAAGAAAGGTTTGACCATTGACCGCTGGTATAATTTTGTACAAGAAGTACGTGGACGACTTATTCATAGTCGGCTCCTCTTCTAAAGAGCTGGAAGAAACACTTGACAATTTAAATACACAAGATCCCAATATCAAGTTCACTGTAGAAAATCCAAATGTGGAGGGTTTTGTTCCATTCCTAAATACAAAGGTTCGAATAAGAAATGGGGCTACAGAATTAGTTTGGTATAGGGAAACAGCATAAAAAATGTGTGTTGCACGCTAGAAGCTGCCATCCTAAATACATGAAGGACAGCATAGTGCGGAACCACCACCAAGTAGAAAATTTGTACCCAACAATCGGATGAAGTAGATTAGATGGTGGACAAAATTCTAAGGGAGAACGGTTATGTAAAGGCAACAATACATACATCCACACTCGACATCTGATGGAATATCCATAGTGATGCTGTATGTTAATGAAAGCACGGCACTAAAAGTGAGCACTGTAGTCAAGCTCACCTCTCCCGATACGACGTCCGCCACCGAATCCCAAACGCCTACCCACATGTTCAAGGCCCTATGAGGAAAACTGCAGTAGAGGGTGTTGTAGCTACTGTACTGACACCAAAAGCTCAGGTAGTCAGTTCACTTAGTAGAATGTCAAGGATGTGGGCAAAAATAACTCGGAGAAACAAAGAGACCTCTTTGTAAAAGGCTAGATGAGCACCGCACGGCGTTCAGAAATTCATCGGCTTATCCTAATATGTAGCACGTTCTCCAGACATCGTACAAAAGAGCATGCACAAGAAGAACCCCCTCCCCCACAGTAGTAATTACAGTGCTACACCGCTCAATAGAACACAACGGAAACGAAAATTCTGGAAGCCCTAGAGATAAAACGATTAGCACCCGAAATAAACAGCAAGGAAGAGCTACGTGACATCCTTCAAATTGTCACATAGCATGCATTGTAACCGTTGCATGGCATTCCTACTATTTGAGGGCGCGAACGGTGTAGGTTATCCTATTTCTTCGTTGGGTAAATTTGGAAGCTCTATTGAGGCGAACGCGTGTGAGTTGGTTCAGTATATCACGTATATTGTCCAGCTTCTGCGAGAAAACTATTTCAGGCCTGGCGAAGGTGCTAAGCAGTGAAATATTGCAATCATTTTGGGAAGCTTTTAAGATTGAGTGCTTTGAAGCTTTTTGAAATAAATTTTGGAGCCCCAAACTGCTATTAAACAGTCGATCCTTATGAGGCGTCGGGACAAGTAAGTGTACCCCTATTGTTCACTATTCCATTGCTCCTTGTACAAACGTGCACTAGGTACCGTATAGCCATGTACAGGCATGGTACAGCCCATGGCTCTGAAGTATCACAAGTGGAGCACTCCAACCAGTAAACAATGTCACGGTCATCATTCAGTGGATTCTCTCTGAAACAATACCCGCACACGCTAGCATCTGCTCAGGCAATTCTGGGGGAAAGTAAGCATTGGCTTCCACCGTGCTTGTATCGCTCGAAGGATGTTGAGACCCTTGATGCAGTTCTAGCTGTTGGTTTTCAGTTGCTAAGTGGGTTACGGTAGCAGTGAACCCGCGGCCTGCAAGATCTGTCTCGTGTCTTGGACTTGTTCCACATAGAGTCAACATAGAGTTAGGGCAGTTACGTTGCAAAAAGCACTTGTCTTCACAGCAAAATATAGGAAAATCATCTTCACATGGTTACCAAATGCCTCCTTGTGCTCTGACCACTGCGTTCTTACCGTACCGTTGAAACTAGGTTATCGTATCCACTGCCTTTGAACTGTCACTACAACATTTTAGATGGTGGAGTAAAGAGTTACAATGTGTGTGCTTGACGTTGGAACAAGCTACTGTCCCAAAATGATATTCTCATCAGGTGAGAGACGAAGGAAAGAGAGAAACGTCTTTAGTAAGGCCGTGTTAGACTGCGAATTCTGCGAACTGCGTCTATTACAAACGATGCATTAGCGAAGCGAGCGATGCGCCAGCGGTTCGACAGCCTGTTAACACGTTGACGACATCGCGTGGTTTGGCATTTTGCACCGCGTGGGAAAGGAACGATTTTGTGAGCGCGCCGTCCTCACCTTACTTCTTCTTAGTTTTTTTTGTTTTGCACGGCTTGAATTGAAAATTGAAATTGGATTGAATCTAGAATTACTTCGGCAAGGATGAAAGCATAAAGGTCATCTTTATAATGAATGGCAGCAGATTTTTGTTTAGGTGAAAGCATAATGACCACGAAGAAGCAAAGAACATCACTTTCGTTGCGAATGAAGCTGAAAGCATTTATACATAACTAAGTTCTCCCAACAAATACAAATATCTTGAGACTCACAAAGCTTTGTATTGAGTGCTTCTACAATCTTTCATGTGAATGTTCACGACAGGGAAGGAATGCTAGGAAAGAATCAAAATGTTTTCTGCATTCAGAAAATCTCAGCTAAATCAAGGGATATTTGGCCACTCAGGCTTTCATTTGGTTTATAGTTACGCTAATGTCTTGCCTATACATTGAATGCAAAAAACTGGAGAAGAAGGAGCTCAATCGCTATGAAAATAAATGACGTAGTTCTGTCGCGCATGCGCGTCAGCCTGTCTTCAACGTGTTAATGTGGCAACAGTCCCTCTCTTCAGCACGTTAACCCTCGCTACTTTCTTAGGCTTGCGAGAAATAAGAGCATGGGAAAGTGACGAGAGTCATTGTGCAAACGAGAGATGTTCTTTCCACTTCCCCACAGTGTCAAGTCGCTGGTGCATCGCTCGTCCTCCGCAATTCGCCAGCAGTTTAATGGGTTCGCAAAGTCCACCACTGCGGCTAACTGTTTCGAAGATTCACCAATTGTCGTCAACTTCGCATGCACTTTCAGATTTGCATACAGAAATCACAGGGAACTGTATATTAACGTGTGCCTTTCACAGCAATTAAGGAATAAATCATAATTTTATGATAAACCATAATAAATCATTTTCGGTAGCATTCACATCAATAGATAATCTGATATATAAAATTAATCGCACTTTCTCAGTTCGTAAATTCGCAATCGCAATAGCCTAAACCTAGATGTCGCTGAATATCGAAAGTAAGAATTCCACAACGTAAGGTATTGTACCGCTGTTTACAGGTAGTGAAATAACAGTAAAGATGTTAAAAGCTCAGTGAAGAAGTAATGACTAGTCGATCTATATCATTATAATTCATATCTTTTCGGCTCTCTATAAGGATGTCGTTAAGTAGGCAACGACCAACGTGAATGAGACACCTGAGAAAATACCTGAAAGAAAAAGTGTTGCTAAAAGACTGGAAAAAGATCTGAGCGATGAAAATGAGATGAAGAGCGAAACGATAGAAAAAGGCGAGGTCGATTTGGCCCGTAGTATCATGCCATGCTGCTTACTAGGGTGTGTTTCGCATTAGAGAGATTATAAAGTCCGTTGAGTGAGCGCAACCGTAACACGTGACTGGTTGGCGCGCAATGCCACGCGTCATCGATTTGAATTCGACGTGCCCTTTTGTCGTTTTCCCGCGCACTCCACGGCGACAGAATGGATGTGATAGAATCTGGCTCTTGTACGGAGCGTCCGTGCTGGTGTATAGGAGGAGTATGGCAGTCGGTCGAACTTGCAGGGAAGTGGTTTGGCGGCACCCCGGGGCTAACCTCCCTTGCCCTGCGCGCCAAGCGCGCGCAGCCGACTATCCAAAAATGCACGCAGCGCTCGCCTGGCCGCTTGCGCGGCGAGTCGAGCGCCGCGTGTATATTTGGGTAGTCGCTCAGGAGCGACTGTGGTGGTTGGGGGTATTGTGCACTCGCCAGCGAGACATCATACCCTCTCACGTTGGTGCTGGAACGTGTGGGTACACAGCAGTAGTGTAGCTGCGCACTCCAGTGCCAACGTGGATTACGGTAGCGGTCACTCATCGGACTGTTAAAGCCGGCTTGTGTGTTTCGCTATGATTTCCGCTTTTCGCAGCGCGAAACCTTTCACGCCTGATTAGTGGTAGACCTAGGGTTCCCGCAGAGAAAAAAAAATTTGCGCGCTGATAAACGAAAAGGTCGCTTCATTTCGACAAACCAAACCCTCTTTACTACAGGACAAGCGCGACAGGGGCTATTAAACTTCGATGATATCCGCCAATGACAGGCAAGCCTGGAAGGGTGTGTGCCAGAAGAACGGGTGACGCTGCATTCACTCCATGTCTGATTGACTGGAAATGAATACACTGTGGACCTCTGTTACCTGCTCCCATCGAAACAATAGCTTTTTTCTGCTCGTTAGTTGTTATGCTTTTATTTTTCCATTATATTTCTGTTGTGTTTCTTCATTGTTTTTTATAGTTTTTGCTACACGGCGCTTACTATGTTGACGATGTTTTTCTTGCTTGAGTTGCCATACCCACGTGGACTCTGTCTGCGTCAATAAATGAAATGGAATGAATAGCTGCTCGCCAAACTTCGGTTAGTGTAGAGCGAAAGAGTGCAGACGCGGGCGGGAATTTTGTTGCGTGAAGGAAGTTTCACGACTGCGAGTAAATGTGCGAATTTTGGTGCGTGCGGGCACACGCGCTCCGACCCTGCGGCCATGCGTCCAAGCTGAAGAGTATAACTGAATTCCTTACCTAGGATCAGGCACAGTGCAGCCGTCATGCCAGCAATCTTTGCGTATTTTTCCGGAACCACTCTAGAATGGAAAAATGTTTTGCCATCTGATTATTTAGAAACTGCCAAAAGCTTTAACAGTTATTCATAGAGATCCAGACGAATCCTGAAGAGTTTTTTCTTCACATGCGGCAGTGTTTCATTTAAAAAATCATTTTCCGTGTGAAAATCGTTGACTGTTGAAGGAATTGTCCACGGAAGAATCACCATACCTCAGTTATAAACCACTGGCTTGATACTTATCAGTAACGATAAGATAAGAACGAAAAGCACCAAAAATGTGTTTGTTGCAAACAATTCGAAACGGACTGATACGCGTTCAACTTCGCGTTGCATCTGTCACAAACGCTAACGACGGTAAACATTCCACTTGGTCTTCGGAGTGCTTCATTAGGAACATTTTCAGCCCTTTTCACCTTTTCTTCATCACTTTCATTTTCTACTGCACCCTATTCTATCGATCGTTTTGTCTCTATCCCGCGGATTCGAACGCTTCAACCCGATCCTTCCCATGCGTCACCTGATACGTGCCGCTCAAGGCGCAATTCGTTCCATGCGTTCCCCTGCTTCCGCCTCCCCGCCTACCTCCGACTGTCTACAGGGGGTGGTTTTCGTAAGTTTATTTTTCAAAAACTGACTTTTTTTGAGTAAAACGTTGTATGTTGTCTCTAGTGATCGCAACTGACATATTCAAATCACGAAAGAATGCAAGAATATTCCCGGGTATTCCTTTAGGCTGGTTGGCGCTCGGAAAATTTACCAATTATCCCTAATCCACTTTGAGAGAGCAATTTTACAGAATACTCTTGGAACTTCTACACTCCACACCTCTCGTGCAGTGTGACCACGAACCTCGCACAGTTTGAACACGCAGACTGGGTTAAGGGTTAATGGCACTTCATTCTTAGCATAGCTCTAATGTTACAGAAATGAATAAATCTATTGATATGCAGTGGAATGAAATAACGAGGGCATACCTGGGAGCATACATCATGGCCAGAGAACTGAAGTAGCCTGATGTGAAAGCCATCAGGATTCCTCCGAGCAGGAAACTATACTCGGCTGTAATGCAACGAGAAATAAAATGCACCATCCACAACAAATTAAATGCACTTACATTTGAAGATGACGGGAAGGGTTCTGTCAAACGGCCTGTAGTTACAGAACATGAAGAAAGGAATAAACAGGCCTCGGATTAGAACTGGTATCCATAGGTATTGAGCTCGAGGCTGAAATCAACTGAATTGATCTTGTTGTCAGATTTTTCAATGCTTTTTTTCGTATGAAAAGCTACTCAACTGAATCGCACTTGCTTAGCCGTGTATCATCATCAAACCCTTGTAGTGAGAGGGTGTAAGTCAAAATAAACGTTCCTAGTCGCTTCTGACTCTAAAGGCGAATGTTGCAGAAAAAATCGTTGCCCATTGGACGTAAAGTAGGGTTGTAGAGGATGTACGGTCAAGATGAGAGGACGAAATGGGACCCATATATGTATCCCCACTGATTTCCATTTCAGACGAGATTCGACTCAGATCATGTAATCGACGAGTACGCCTTGCTCTGGCCTCTCTGCTCTCTTTCACCGCAAACGGCGATCTCTTACATCAACCAATCACAGGGCGAGTTCAGTAGTTCAGTAGGCGGGTTGCGCCACGGTAGGTTGCGCTAGCCACGTTTAGGGCTAACAACGTGGCGATGGGCGCACCATTCGCCGCGACACACCTCACTTCTTTAGTTCCGCGCCGTATTTTTGTAGTAAGACTGTAGTAAGACCCTTCTTTTACAATTTGTCGCAGCATCCTCCTTTGAGTTCATAAAGTAGTAGGGAGCTCTGATCGAAGTAGTTCACAGTGAATTCCGACACTTCGCTGCCTTTCTTACAAAGAATGAATGCCCTTATGCCGCCTTAGCATAATCAAATAATAAATCTGCAGCCATTTTGATCAATTTTTCCTACCATACCATTTACCGGCGTTTTTAACACTAAACTCCAATACATGATGATCAAGCGGGAGGGAGGTACATGGTTCCCACGTGCACCCAACCATAACATGTCCCGACTGCGTGCCAAGGAGATGCAAAAAAAACTGAATACACTCCGTTGCAAAACTATACGACATACCCCAAATTTTAAGTTACTGCAGTTGCGAGAAATCCAGCACAACAGTGGCTAATGACATTCGATTCGGCGTGTTAAGTAGCCTACTACAGAGAATCTCCGAGCAGTTCTGTTAACTTCCAGAAATCCGGGGTCAAAAAATGGAAATATGGCCGTTGCAAAACTATAAGACATAGCAGAAATTTTGACAATTTTTTCACTTTGGTAAAAATTTTCCCGAGCTTTCCACAGTCATATTAGTATTGTATTGTAGATATGCAGGTCACGGATTCGCCATGCCCTGCATAGCCCCTTGAGGAGCCGATCTGACATGTTTTCTACCGATTTTTGTGTGCCTCCTCCTGGATCCGTGATCGTAATCTGCGACTAGCATCTTTTGTAGAAGATGCAAGGAATTGCACCGATTATTCTAGGAACAAAGACTACAAGCAACGATGCTCCATAGGGTTTTCATTAGATTTAGACCTCGCTAACAAGTAGACCATCTGCGTAAATCTATATGGTAGGCTTCAAAGCAAGGCGAAATTGGCTCACCCACATGAATAACAGCGCTTTACTGCTGAGAAGTATGCTGATAATGACGATTATGTATCGTATACCGTAGCCAGCGGTATTAGAGCACATCATCGTGCTCGACAAACTTTTCAACTTCTCCTACAGATTGAATTTCGTGCGTTATTACCTAGAGGCCAAACAGCTTCTTTGGTGTGTGATATTGCAGGTAGTTTTTCCAGTGAAAAAAATGTTCTTTCTAGCGAGCCTGATGGATGACACTAGTATAAAAATGATTTGGGCAGAAAATCCATCTTCTTATCGAGAAGGAGCCTGATACTGATACTGCACAACTTACAGTCGGCGTGGCAAAATAGATGTGGTCTTCGCGATTCAACGAATGAACTTCACCGACTGAGTAAGTGCTCCATTATCGCGTGCTACCGTCTACAACGCAGAATCGTTATCATCAGCATAGTTCTCAGCAGTACTGGGCTGTGATCCATGTTGCTAGCCCGTAGTCTTTAGTCGAGGAACAATCAGTACGATTCCATGCATCTCCAGCAAAAGGCGTTACTCGAAGATTAGGCATGGATCCAGGAGGAGGCATACCAGAATTGGTAGAAAACATGTCAGATCGGCTCCTCAAGGTGCTATGCAGGGCATGGTGAATCTGTGGCCTGCATATCTACAATACAGTACTAATATGACTGTGGAAAGCTAGGGAAAAATTCTACTAAAGTGAAAAGAATTGTCAAAATTTCTGCTATGTCGTATAGTTTTGCAACGGCCATTTTTTCATTTTTTTTTCGACCCTAGATTTCTGGAATTTGACAGAACTGCTTGGAGATTCTCTGTAGTAGGTTTCCTTACACGCCGAATCGAATGGCATTAGCCACTGTTGTGCTGGATTTCTCGTAACTTCAGAAACCCAAATTTAGGGTATGTCGTATAGTTTTGCAACGGAGTGCATTATTAATACAACATCAGTTACTGACCCATTGAACGAAGTTGGCAACTGTAGATCCAACAGTGGCAAAGACGTTGAACGTTAGGAAGGTGGTAATGAAAGTGTAAAGGCGTTCTAAAAATAGAATTTTGTGCATGAAAATGTTATTACAGACTTATGTACTGTGAAATTAATTTAATCTTAAGAGAACCTGGCCAAATCGAGTACCATCCCTGGCCTGGTTCTCTATAAAGAGGTGTAGCAGCCATTATCGCCGGGAAGATGCAGAGACTTACGAAGAACAGGAAGTACACATTCCAGAGTTGTACCCAGCACTGCAAATTTTCAGATTATGAATAACAGTATATATTCTATAATAGTAATTGACAAAATACGTTGGATAGAAAAATTCTGCGTATTGAAGATAAATTTCGGTACTTGTTGGCTGAAGGAGTTTTCCTACACCCTAGTGGACCCCATGCATTTATGTAGGTGATCCCAACTTTGTAATTGCCCAGCTAAGCAGTCTTAGCTTCAAGACCTAGCGGTGCTTTCGTGGCTCTACCAGTGCTTTCAACTATCCTTGGATTTGTCGCTGACGACACAGATGTTGCCTGTGTTTCGCTACTACATACTCCCTTTTTCCCCTCGATCTCTGCTCGCCCTTCCCGGTGGTCCAGTGATTTTTCCCTGTTAGCTCGTAGAGCGCTCAAAATAGACTGCAAAATGAGAGGTATTTTTGGGGTTTTCTTGGTGATTTTCTTTCGATTTTTTTCTAATGGCAGGCACTATGCGCTTGCACTTCTACGTTTGAGCCTGACAATCCGCATTTTACAGCCGTGGGCTTTGCCTTCGATTGGACTGAAACAGTTCAAGTGAAAAGGATCGCGTCTCAACTTACCATCCTGAAACATTCCCGGAACTGTTTCAAGCCCGGCTTTGAGGTGTTTGATTCCACCCTTGCCGCAGCTCCCTTTTCAACGTGGTAAGTGTAGAACTCCTAAAACAGTCGCTCTGAAGCAATACTGATATGAATAATAACTTTTTTAGCTCAAACCTGTTTCGTAAGTATAATTAAAGATAGGCCGCACAAAGTGAGTATAACCAGTGAAATAGAAAAGTAAGTGATGGCTATGGTGCGCACGTCAGAAAGTACTGAAAATGAGCCTTATGAAAATAAACTGATAAAGTAGCTAGGGTTAGCAAAGTCTCACTTAATGTCACAAGTATCGAAAGCAATGTGGTGAATGTTCCACAAAGGTTATTTCCAAGGATCAGGGCGTTCGTGTATGCAGCAGGAAAGTCGGCGAATAATCCGAAAGTCGAGTTCTGATAAAGACCGTTGGAGAAATTAAGGACTGCTACAATGACCAACGTGGCGATATAGAACCAAGCCATATCTGGAATACAATAAAATCATCTGGTATTTGCCTAAAACTGACGTCTGCTTGTGTGACTGCCTTTTGGTCTAAAATAGATACGAACTACAAAGAAGAGGAGTGGTTTACAGAAATGAATTTAGACATTAATAACTATCGACATGGGAATCAAAACTCGGAAACCGGAACCTACGGTGATGTGCATGTCTTCTATGCTGTTATGGTCAGTCGCTATAATGATGACTGCCACGACCAGAGTCAACCCTGCGTTGCGCAGTTCGCAACGGCACGTTGAGAGATCCTCAACGCACGCTGTACACAGACGGCTCGAGCATGCGAGTGTGAATGTTCGCGCGAGAGAACGTGTCTAATCGGGCGAAACTGCGCAACGTGGCCGTTGAGAACTGCGCAACACAGGGTTGACTCTGGCTTCGCAAGCTTCATTCTTACATCATGATCTGATGCATCTCATTTATGCCCGAAAATTCCTTTCTCCTTCAAAAGTCAGTACTTATATAAAAACGACTTACATACAGTGCGTTTCAAAAGTGTTAAGGCCTTATGAAAACGAAGTACAAGCTACAAACATTTTTATAGGAAAAATTAAAACGTCAACGTCTTTCAAAGCGATAGAAGGCACCCTGTGTAGAGGAGTTCAAGCCGTGAACCTTTCTTTCTGACAACTCATTTGCGATGGCATGCTAGTCTACGTATACTACCTCCTCCATAAACGCTAGACGATTTGAGCTCTCTAATGAGGGAAAGCCTCCAGATGTAACTGCGACGTCTTCATAGCTGAATTGAAGAGAAGCCGGTGCGTTGTGCTCCCCCACTTTCTTCAAGATTTGGGGCGCGGCCGCGGCAAACCCGGCCGAGCATGCGCCATCAGCTTACCTGAGTATTCGACGTTACATTACGTATCGCAATGTAACGTTGAATACTCAGGCAAGCTGATGCCGTAATGTAAGGTCGGATAGTCAGGTAAGCTGATGGCGCATACTCGGCCGGTTTGCCGCGGCCGCGCCCCAAATCGTGAAGAAAGTGGCTGAGCCGCCGGTAGCAGGTCCTGAATCTTCCATACTAACCCGCAACAGCGATTTTCATGGGTGCCTTTATACTTTCGAAGCGTACTGTATTACCGTGATGGACTGCACGAGCATAGCAAAACGTTCGCGGCGCTTCGCATGAAACTGTAAGGTGTAAAATAATAAAGAACTGGCAGGGTATAGCAGTGAACTCCAGCAAAAATGTAGGATATAGTGATGGATAAAATTGAACTCCATTTATGAAATGCGATTGAAGGGGACATGAAACAGGAAAATAAAAACAAAAGAAATTGAACACGAATTGAAAGAGTTGTGGAGCTGCTTAACAAACCTTCCTCAGTTGGCAGAACGAACACAATGAGCATGATTGTAACGAATACACTGGCACAGTTTACAACTATCGGACCGGCGATTCGAAGTAGCAGTGCTCCTCTGGAGAGAAACTACGCACTGTATTCGATCAAAACCACATATCTTGAAGAACCTACCCGATGACTGCAAATGTGTTGATTATATTGATCATCACATTTGGAAACTGTGATGCTATTCCCAGAGAGCTCATGAAATTTTTCGCGTAATCCGTTTGCGTATTGTTCGGACTGAACCAGTATTCAACATAGTACTAAAAGTAGCGATTGCATGATGAATAAATTTTAAATAAATAAGTAAATGGTAAACATAAGCTGGCTTGTGAAACCTACTTGAGGTGCTATAGTGATGAACATGTTCCATGGCATTAGTACGCCAATGCCATGAAGCATTGCTATGAAGTAGACCAGAAAACACTAAAACAATTGGTTTTTCATCATCAAAGTTATTCGCTGAGGTATGGAGAATGGAAGTTGAAACTGATCGGTATCTCAGTATGCACCACGCAATTGTTCAGGTTTTGAAATCAAAATCTTCCGAAGTATCTGGCTTGCCATCACCGCTACCTCACTAAGGACCCTCTGGGATGTGACGGCAGACAGTGGTTCGTCTGGAGTGGAGGCTAACAAACCCCTCCTTCATTAATCTATTTCTTAACACTACACCTCCCTCTTTTTGTTGCATAGTTGGCAAAAGGCAATTGGTCTCAAAACACGGTACCTCCCTTTAGGTTCTACTAGAGGCGTTGGAGCAGGAGAGCGGGAGATAGAAAGGTAGTTTGCCTCGATTGAATTTGGCCTCACGGATCAAATGAACACGACGAATAGTAGGACGAAAACATAGATCAATAATTATAGAAAATTTTCACGGTGACTTTTTGTTGCGTTTTTTCATGATATCATATTCATCCTGGGTAGAGTCATTTGGTACACTGCATTCTTTCTGCTGGTGGGACTTAACCACCCAACGTGAACTTTCTCTTCGATATCGGTGTTACATCCGAGTAGTTGAGTATTGGGGCGGAAGGTGTGTAGGGGCAAGTGGCAGTACCTACCGCGCGCGCGGTCTGGAACCGAATACGGGGTCACGCATCGTCCGGGCCAATCAGCGCTTCATCCCTCCGCGGTCGATTAGTTGGTATCGGACTTGTCTAGCAGCATAAAAATGTTGACTTGTATATCTTCCGGGCCATCGCAAGTCATTGTTATAAGCCATATCGCATCCACGTGCAACTACGAATGAATTTACAAAAGGAAGTGCGTGCCGCATCCCAAAAGGAACTGATCAACGGCAAATGCTTATCCGTTTTTTTTACCTGGGGATTGTTCCACAGTTTGCTTTAAAGGAACTTATAAAACAACAACAATTTAAAAAAGCAAATAGTGAAAGGAATTTGCTAAGCTTTGGCCACCCTAGAGAGCTATTTCAAGATGCACTAAGCAGGTTTCAGATCATAGTTCGAAGTAGTAGGTTTTTGCTCACCTACTCTTACCCTTAATACCTCGGCTACTCATGAGTGTAAAAAGTAGGGAGGATCGTACATCTTCCAGAGGGGAGGACTTTGGGTCGTACTCCACTGATGGGGCTGCAACCTCTACTGGCCTCAAACTTGACACACCATATTCATATTTATGGCCATCTCATAGCTTTTCTCATGGATCACAGATGTAATCGCCTGACCAGGTGCATCATTCCCATGCCTTGAAATTCTTGAGGGAAACTTGTATTTTCCTCGCCTACAGTTAATAAAGCAATGAAACGATTATACTCACTTTATCCTTTGGTGGGGTGGGAGCCTGCTTCATGGTGCTGAGAAATGCGGCACGCTCATCGACTAAAACAAAATTTTGTCACTTAGAGTTGCGAATTCGGAAATGTTTTGAATTTTTAAATCAGTTCTGGGAATTAGGAATACTAATGAATTGAACATTTTCCTGTTAACGTGAGTTTCGAGGGGTCGAGTTTCCTGATTTTTGGAGAGTCGTAACTGGGGAATGGCGGCGTACTTCTGGCAGTCATGCGACCAGGAAGTTCTTTGTAAAAAGGGAAAACGTTGTTGAACCTAGAAAAGCTTACCAACGTTTACAAAACTTGGCATTTTTACCGTTTCCAAGGTTACAACTATGCACCCTTCCAAGCGACGAAACCTAGGAATTGTGGGGGTGGAGATGGACATATTTCAGGTTGAATCAGTACCATTGAATGCTCACAATCGACTTTATCAACTGATGGAAGTGGGGGGGGGGGGGAGGTGGCGTAGGGTGGGCGGGATCGTAAAACCAAATTTGAAGTCTGCCAGACGCTCGGGTCGACCATCCTTGTGCTTTCTTTCGTGATTTGTCGCTGTTTATGTCTGATCTGATTCCACGAATGTTCGTTCAAGTGTCAGGCTTAGCGTTTGGATGAGATATGGCTATATTAACCATCATTTTCATTTTCGGCTAGAAATGATTGGCATAGATCCGAACAAAATGTAGCGCTAGACAGCGAAGACCAAGTTTATCACTGAATCCTCGATTGACTGACTGATTAATTTGATACGTATGTCAACTGTTTCAGGAGGATTCGCCTAAGATCTTAAATGCTGCTTCAGATTTTCAGAGATTTATTTGAAAAAATTCGTCTTATTTCATGAATGTACCGTCGTACATACCCCTGGAATGAGAGAAAGGAGGATGTTGTAGGTTGTGGACAGAGTCAACCACTCGTGTGATCGAGTCAGGCGAGAGTGGTGATATTTCGCGATTTTGTGGTTGTACTTGGCAGAATGAGTCGTTCATGAAAAGGGGAGGAGAGAAAGGAAAATTCTCAGGAAGAGGATTATTAATTCAAAGAAAAATTGGCGAGATTGTGAAAAGTTTCGCAATTTTTGACAAACTTTGCCGTTTCAGCAGTTATGTATGGATCGTCTCAGACGCTTAGGTTGGTGGATAAAGTCGTCCAGGTCATTCCTGCTTTTGATAACTTGATGTACCATCATAGCATGCATTTGAGAAATATGAGTTGAAATTGCTGAATTCACCGCCATTACGCAGACCGAAGAATTTCTTCTCAACATAATTGCTTAACCTTGCAATCTTTCGCTATTTTCCGGAACAGCTCAGCTGGATTTTTCCAAAGCAAAGAAGATTTGTTGAAATGTCGTTAGAGAGCTTCTCCTGCGCGAGCCCCGTGTGAGCTGCACGCGAACGAGGCAGATAATTAAAGAGCTGCTCATCGCGCTACTATGGGTCCCAACATGTTGTGATTCACATGTTTCACCCTGAAAGCTCATCGCGCTGCTATCAATGGTTGGTTGGCCCCTCGTAGGAGCGACTCTCGTCAACCAACCTAGCACTGCTCGGATGTCACTTCACCACATCCGTTGCTAGTTCGTGATTTAGGCAACCCCTGGGCCCCTAAATCACCTAGAATAATCTCCACATCACCTGCACTACAAGTTAATAAGTGAGTGAACCCTCTCGGCTTTTTCTGAACAGAATCGGCCTGAGTGATCACTGGAAGCTGTCACCAGAGTGCTTTCACGAAAGTCTGCTGTTAGCCCAGGACTTGGGAACGAAAATGTTATAGGACTTTTCCCACAACTCAAGAAATGCAGAAGTTCGGACAGACTATGTCGCATATTTTCTCAGATAGGTACATGGAACGCTTACCACATTAAAACAGGTAATCTGGTAAAAAAAGTAACGTGCAAAGTAGCGTTACGAATACCTTTAACTGATTGCAATCGACAATTTTCGAATGCCGGCTTGCTGGCGAGTGTGAAAGTTCAGCGACGAACGCCGAGACTCTCACTGAGACGACTGTTGATAAATGGATGATGACGGTTTTCGCTGTTCCAAACATTGCGCGGCAAGTGGATACATAGGAAAAAAACTCCACTTGTCTTTTAATCACGTACTTGCGTCGAAAGCAGTAACAATGTGAACTGCAAACATCTTGTTTCCGATCTTGTTGATCTTTGCTCTTCCTTTTGCTTACCATTCAGAAGATTTGCAACGCTGAGCTCGGTGAGTCACACACACATTTTGAATGTCTCGAAAAATTCATCCCTCGTTCGCGGTAATTGTACTTATATAGTACATGACACTGTTAGTGATCCTTGTTTGTTGAATTGGTTCGAGCAAGTGTTTTATTCTCTTATAATTCATTCTTTTATAATTCCAAGCAGCATTTGGGTAACATCAAAGTGAGCTTTATGAATAATGTTGTCTCCTGACAATAATTTACTTTTTGGAAGCGTAAAATTTTTCGGAAGCGTAAAACACGGAGGACAAAGCACCCGGCGTTGATCAACCCTTCTTTGGTATGCTCCATGCATTCTACCTACACGCAAGTTGTGGGGTAATGGAATGGAATGTCCCTATGCAAACTTTCGGCAGATAACCGAGGTGCAAGGCAGTGTTATTCTCCCAATTTGGTCTGGTCTTAATGCACCGACATTGAAGAGATGGAAGGCTTACATCGCCACTTAAAACTACAGAAACACTGGAGACGATGCCTAGATAGATAACGGATGATAGCTATCCTTTCGTAAACACATTCCTTTTTTGCAGGCGAAAACCCTTTTCCGCCTTTATTTTGACTTTCTTTAATTTTGATGAGTTGGTCTTGGGAAGAATTCTGTACTGGAGCTCATTAGCCAGAAGTATCACATCAATGCATACTACAGTACCAATCTGAGTTGGCATCGTCACTACAGTTGAAGTTCATAATGTCAGGCAACCTTTTTCGACAAGCTTGGACTCGATCGTACTGTTGAACACATTATCCTTTTCCAACCTCACCGAGGCGATTCGGGGCCGCCTTCAAAAACTAAGCCTCTCGTTTCACTCCAGAATAGCGTGGCTAATTACCTGGAGGTCTATCCTAGCCCACACGACAGACCCTGGCAAGCTACTCGTCTGCCTTCAATATGCCAAAACAGCAATATGGATGGTCCTCATTCCCCTGAACTTGAGGGTGCCCCCAATACGGCAGCATTGGGTAGGATCGCTCGGGAGAGGCTGCCAAAATCTCAGGACCCGGACAGGCTGCTTCAACGATGAAGGGCTAAGATGGCGATCTGTACTTTCAACGCACGGACGCTTGCATCCAAAGCTCACATCGAAGACCTGATGATGCAGGCCAGAAAGATTAAGTACGACGTCATCGGTCTCATCGGTCATCGGACGAGAAGGCACCCCCGCTACGCCGTTTTCGATACTGGAGAACAACTGTTCCTTGGAGCATGCGACAGCAGAGGCGTTGGCGGTGTGGGTGTCCTCGTCAACACGCACTTGGCCATAAACATCGATTCGTACGAAAGCCTTACGACCCGAATCGGACGTTTGAGATTGAGAAGATGTGGATCAAGTCCTGTTTTGACAATCTTCGTCGCCTATGCACCAACATCGAGCTACGACGAGGAGAAACACAGAGCATTTGATATAGAATTGGAGAAGTTCTACAAGGAAGATCAAACCTTCTTTAAGGTCATCGTCGGCAACTTCAAGAAAGACAAGATTGACCCGAGAAGAACGGCTGGAGAAATTCACGTCGGTACTCATGGAATGGATTGGAATGAGCAGGGCGAAAGACTGCCTGAGTTTAACAAGACGACCAACACC